CCACTCCGGGAGCGTCTCCACGATCTGCCCGCTCAGGCTCTTGCCGAACTTCATCGCGGCCGCCTCCTAGCCGCAGTAAAGGAATGAGATTCGGGGGGGTCAATGAGTGGGTGGTGGACGGATTGCGCCGGTGATCGTCGCGGTGGAGGGCGGCTGATGGGGTTGTGAAATAGAGGGGAAGGGAAAGGGGGGACGGACGGAGGGAGGATGGATATGCGGGGCGGGGAGGTGGGAAGCGGCGAATATTCGCGTGGAAGGATATTATTTGTTGCGGTGCGTGCGCGACGCGAGTTTATTCCTCGCCCTCGCTCGCCGCCGAAAAGGCCACACTTCGAGGGTGGAAGACGCCGAGGTGAGGTGGACGGAAGACTGGAAGAGGAGACGGGGAAGAGAGGGACCCAGGTGGTGGTGGTGGCCTGGTGGCGGTGGGGGCGTTCGGCCGTGGAGCTATGCGGCGAAACTGGGCATGGGCACGCAGCACAGGGCGGGGCTAACTCACGTGGATGAAGGCTGCCGTGTGGCTGTGTAGGTGGTTTGTTCCAGCTCGGGATGGGAAGGCATGAATTTCGCAACAAAAAAAACATAAGTTTTCACAGAAATTAGCTTATTTTTATTATAGGAAAAAACATAGGGGTCTCCTATGTTCCAAAAGATGTTTCATTGGTGTTCAGGTTAATAAAGACATAGCGTTTGATTTGGAGATATCAAGGACAAGAACAAAGTCATATCGTCAAATGTATATTCGCTCAATATATGGAATGGAATGACTTAGTCCCTCAAATTTAGCGGATTAAATTGTCCCACACGAATAGCATCATGTGCCATCTCCACATGGCTAAGCACAAGCGCGATGAGCAGAAGGACCAAAGCGGGGCCGGGGAAGCAGTGGTGTAGGAAGGCCCTTGCAACAGCGATGAGAGACATGGAGAGACATGGGAAGAGACGACGCGAGGGGAGACGTCAAATGAAGTGGAGCTCTGAGCTCATAGTAGGTGAAGGAGAGGAGACAGGTGGACATGACACCATGGGGCGAGGCTACGACGGTTGTGCAGGCAAAAAGCCCGGCTGTGACAAACAGGTGAAAGACGAAGAAGAAAAATAAGGAAAAACGATATCCATCCTTTACATGTCTATCTCTTACCACCCCTCATATCTCTACTATAATTGAAAACTTAGACTCATCACGGAGGCTTCAACGCTCCTGTCCGTATAAAAGGAAACAAACGCCGTCCGTATCGACGAAAAAAAGGAAACAAAAATTCCCTTCCGCGCGAGCATGCCCGCCGCCGCGCCCGTCGTCATCGACGAAAAAAAAGAAGCCGCCCGCTCGTCAAAATCACCGGCAACAAGAACGGCGATTCCGCGACGTGCCCAAGCTAGCGATCCACGACGGAGGACGCCGGGATCCCGATCACGCGGCAACCAAGAACGGCGATTCCATGACACGTGACGATTAGCGGCGACACGTCCCCCTCCATCGTGATCTACATCGAGTGCCGTCCGCGACGTCGACTCCGAAAGCTCCACGGAGATCATGCGCGTGGCCAGTGCCCCCACCTCCACGGACAAAGCCTGAGACCTGACGCACTTGAAGGTTTGCCTTGTCTTCCTTTTTTTATTTCCGTCCATGACTCAGGTGAATTCCATATGTAATCTTTGAACCTGTAGGTTCAATCAATGCTATGATTATTACTTTAAATTTGCATCATAAAATAAACTATGTTTGATTACTATTTTTTAGTCAGCGTGTGCTATATTTCATTGTATTTAAACTATGTGTGATTACTACTTTTAGTCTCCTTAGACTATAATATTTCATTTTTACTCGTCTTCCAGAATCATAAATTTGGTTTCAAATATTAAATTAATTTATGCTTTGCTCATCTGAATACAGAAGATACTAAAAAAGATATAGAGACTAAGGCAACAACCGAACCTATTGGGAATTATCAGATATCTGCAGAGGAGGAATTGCAATCAGCCTCTAACCAAAAAAGTGGATACACCGGTGAAATAGATGGATACATGAATATTTCATCAGAGACTATATTAGTCACTTAGACTATCTTTCATTATTAATCATATTCCAAAATCATAAATTTGGTTTCCAAAATTAAAATAATTTATGATTTGCTCTGCTGGATCTGAAGAAACTAAAAAAAGACAGTAGATCGAGGCAAGAACCGAACTTTGTTGGCAATTATCGAGATAGTTAAAGAGGAGGAATTGCGATCACCTCTAACCAAGAAATGGATACACCGGTGAAATAGATGGATCTGAGACTATTTCAACGCTCTTTAGACCACAGTTATCCACAGTTACAATGATCATTGTTTAATTATTCTTTGCTCATCTGGATACAGAAGACATTAAAAAGTTTATAGAGAGTGATGCAAGAATCGAGGCCTCTACCCAACAAATGCAAAACAAAGACAATGCTGATATAATTACTCTCTCTTTCGTAATTGTGAAGATGATGTTTTGGAGACTAAAACCATAGTGGACACCGATGAGTCCATAGAGCCCACTTGGATTGGCTACGAAATGATAATTATGTTCCAGGAAGTAGAGGGCCATGTACGATCCACATCGATCCATTGCCTACTTCGGTGTGAGTAAGATTAGCACAACAACCTCATGCAATTTTTTAATAAAATATATATAAGGTATTTATTTATAGCTATGTTACTGTACTTATTTTAAAAATATTTGCAGAAGTACACCTACCAGAGCGGGGCTATACTGATGAAGATGTCCAAACCAAAGACGGATACAAGAAGCGGAAGCATGCACACGAGGATGACGTACGTAACAATCTCTCAAGCTACTCAAATATCCTCTCATATTTTCTGCCCGTATGACCCATTGCATACTAAATGTAAAAGAATGATGTATAAAACTGATATTATATATTGCATATGCAGATCATTATAAAGGATGGAAATGAAGTACAGTATAAAGATAATGATGTATAAACGCATACGGCTAGAAGCCAATAAAAATCCAATACATGTTCTCGGTGAGATGATGGTGTTGCCCTCAAGTATAATAAGCCAAAGAAAGCAAACAATGTACAAGTCATGCCTCAAGGTGATCCACCATCAATTTAAACCTATATGTCTTTAAATTTGGGAATTAATTAATTATTAATAAAAAAAATAATACCTCTCTAGATTATGCGTACGCAATAAGATGTTGAGGTAATTGAATATATGAAAGGAAAAAGTAAAAAGCATCCGCTTGTCGAATCGATGATTGTTGGGGAGCAAGAGATGACATGGATTGTCTTTTTTCTTGGGAATGAGCAAGTCAATGGCATGTAAGCATGTTTAACACTTGCTTCAGCATTAACTAATGTCCATGGGAAATATCTCGCCAATCTTGAAATGACAAAATAAAAACTTGTAGGTCATGAGTCTTTATATTCAATTGATGACGCTGAAGAACACCTACTACGAGAGAAGGTGGAGATGTTTACTTGGAGAATACGTGGTTCTCTCAATTACTACAACAAGAGGGAGAGGAAGATGAGATGAAAAAGAGTTGGATAAAAGAGGACATGGTTGAAACAAGGGTACAAAATTATTTAAATGTTGATAGGGTAAGATTTCACATATGCTAATTTTATACCCTTTCAAATGTAAGGAAATAGTTTAGATAAATGT